TGAAACCCACTCATATCTTTCCTTGTTCTTTGTTGGAGCAAGAATCAAAGTTGGTTTTGAGATTAAAACTCTAATATGAAATTGGAAAATCAAATTAAAGAAACTAAGAGTTTGTTTCTTTTTTTTTTCTCCATTAAGTCTTGTAGACAAAAGTGTTGCATACAAAATGCTTGTTTCTTTTCTAGACTGAATAAAATCATCTGAGTGAGAGTAAATGATCATTTTACCCTTGCATTCTAACAAACAATTTTCACTCGGTGATACTTACCAAGTCATGTGATGATTTTTTCAATTCAGCCAAGACACTAGCAGAATCTGCTCTGATAGGGCAATTAAATACCTGAAGTTTATTTATATAACAAAAATGTCAAAAAAAAATCATTTATCATAGAAAAATGAAAACATGTTAATAAATTTATAGAAAGATGAATTAAATTTAATATAAAATTTAATAATTTATACCGCAAAACCAGCAAAAGTGAGCCCGGTTTCCACTACTTCCCTGTCCAAGTTTCTAGCTTCACTTACCTATAACAAATTGTGTAAGTGAAAACTAGAGATGCTAGAAGGGCAAAATAGTCAATAAGAAAAAAATACTTACCGTCATATCAGGAAGGGGTTTATATGCTAGAGCAAGGACACGGGAGCCTTGTCGTGTGTACCTCTTGTAGGTGTTTATATAAAACGAGGGTATATCATTTAATCTTTCTTGAATGGTCTCTGGTGCACCCTAAAATAAACACCATTTAAAAAAATTTGAGAAAATTGAATAAAGGTAATACACCATAATATATTATATTATATTTAAGTATTTAACATTTTAAATACCTTCACAAACGCATAAAAATGCTCTTCTGTACGAATAACAACTGCCATTCTTTTCAAGTGGGATGCAAAGTGATGCCTTTGAACTATTTGAACCACTTATATATTAAAAAAAAGTTGGTTATTAATTTCAACCAGTTATATATTAAAAAAATGTTAATTAGGGTTTTATTTCATTGATAACGGGTCTTACTTCTTAGACATGGCTTTCTCATCAGATTTATAGCTCCATTCTATCCCTTTGATTGCAGCCTGCTCAAGAGGATCACCAACCTAAAAGCAATGACATAAATATAAATATGCATAATGTATTTTCTTTATGATCATAATATTATAATTTGAGATTATAATTATTATAATATTTTATATACCAGTTTGTTGTCCACAAAAACAAGAATTTCCAAAGTTCGAGTTGGGATTTTTTTAGTGTCTGTTTCAAGATCTAAATAGGCACTCAGTCCACCAACTCCAGAGAATTCCTGGAAAAAAAAAGCAAAAAAAAAAATGGGAGACTAGAAACAAAATTTTTACCATGAATGGCAGAATTGTAAATACCATGTCATCAGATGTCAATGTTCCCGTCTTGTCAACCTGCAAAAGAAATGGAGGGCAATATGGTCATTTTATATCCATCAATTAACAGTGTCAATTCGGACAAAAAGCATGACTAAATTGCATTTTAGGCACTAAAAATCGAAATATTTGACCATATTTGTAAAAATCAATAAACATAAGGAACTAAAAATGTCATTTGCCTAAAAATACATGTAGTATAACTGTATAAGCTAAAAGACTTAATCCCAGATAAATGATCAAACTAGCTAAGAAACTGGGGCAAAATGGTCATTTTACAGTTTACACGCACTTAATATCCATCTATTGACAGTGTTAAAGTCAGGGACTAAAAATACAATAAAAGCAACATTTCAGGGACCAGAAGTTAAAAATCAAAGTATTAAGCCATACCAGTAACAATCAACAAACACACAAGGTAGAAAACTATAACTTACCCAAATATAAATGTATTAGAAGCTAAAAGACATTAATCCCAGATTTAAGATCAAAATAGCAAAGACATGCTAAAACATAAAGCCATGGGGGACAAAATGGTCATTTTTACATGTAATTTAACATCCATCTAACTTCAAGTGTGAAGAAACTATGCTTTAGGGAACCAGAAGTTAAATATCAAACAACTGGACCATACCCGTAAAAATGAACAAACCACAGGGACTAAAAATACAATTTTAACTTTTACCACAAAAAGAAATGTTAATGCTCACCTTCCCAGCAAATGGTATACGAAAAGGCTCTGTACAAAATATACCATGTCTTGCTAGTGCAATCAATGAGGTATTAACAACTATTGACAACTCCATTGGCAATTCAGGGGGAATCACAGATGTTATAATTAAAGAACAGCTCAGAAGAAGCTTGTATCTACTCCTGTTTGGGTCCTCAAAACCCTAAATCATGAAAAAATTACAGTTATAACCTTCACCACACCTTTAAAACACTAATAGTTGTCAAATTTCAACACGAAGTTGAGAGCTTTATACCATAGGATACTAAAACAGAGCAAATATCACTTTAAGATTCTTCAATAAAAGAAAGGCAAACCAAGGGTAAAACGGTCAGAAAAGTGAAAAGCAAACCAGGGGCAAACAAAATGAACATGAAAAGAGACATGGTAAAGATTCTTCAATAAAAGAAAGGGAAATCTGAACATGTCAAAATAGATATGATGAGACAAGAAACTTGAATCAAGAAAAAGACATAAGAGAGACAAAAGAAGGTCAAATTCACCTTCACCAAGATTGTACGAGTATTCCTTCCAAAGATAGCCTTTTAAGATCACTTCAAGAAAAGAACCAATAATTAGTGTAAGACATGATAGCTGTTGGAAGAAACACATAAATAAATAACAATTAACAGAAAGGCAGAAATGAACAAATTACAGAATGGTTACTACATAATTACAAAATTATGTATTTCAGAATTACATAAATGATAAAAATGAGAACAGATTGAATAATTAAAGCGATGGTAATTGAAGCAACAAGCAATAGATAACATATTACAAATGATAAAGTACAAATTACAGAGTACTGGATGGTGATATGGTCAATGAAACAACAAGTAACAGGTAACAAATAAAATCATAGAATAGTTACAGAAATGGTAAACTAAATATGACTACATAACTAGAGAATGACTAAAATACATAACTACAAAGTATTGGATGATGATATCCAAAATCCAATACTCTGTAATTATATATTTTAGCAATTCTCTAATTATGAAAAACAAGTTCATTCTTAGCACTAGGTTACAACATTGAGATCAATGTTAACAACACAAATTTACAGTAACAAGCAACTTCATTGAGTTCATTATGATGCTCAAAGGAACTTCATTGAGTTCATCTTAGCACTAAGATACAGTTACAATGTAAAATAACTCGTCATGATGATGTTGAAAAAGAAGAACAAACAACAAGTAGCACTGTTGCAGTATGCAGATAAATGAAGACTTATTAATGATGAGATGAAATAACTCGTCATGAGGATGTACTCGTCAATGTAAAATAAACTTGAGCTCTCAACTTTTAGCTTCTGGCAGAAGGGGTGTTGCTGGGTGGAGTTCCGGGGACAGGTGGATTTGATGCTGTTTTTTCTATTACTTTAAGTGAATCGAGTGCCAATCTAACCAAATAATGGAGTTCACACAACGTATTGGCATTGTTAGTTAGGGAAGATCCTCGTGTATGTAATGCTAAGAGATAAGAGGGATGATGATTGAAAAAGAAAAAAATAGGGAAATTAAACCCTAACAAAGTATATTATGCAATTGAACTAAAACTAACCTAATATGTGACTAAAGCAACTAAAATCAAGAGATTTACCTGAATCGGAAGTTAAGGAATAATACTTTCAGATTAAAAATTGTGGAGGTTGCCAGAATCGGGAGCTGCAATGGTGAGTAGTGTCGTCATCTGTTCGAACAGAGATGGTGAGATAAAGCAGAACCGAAATTGGGTTAACAGATCGAAGGGAACTTACTCCAGAGTCCAGAGTGATAAAGCTGGAGGAAGGAAACTTAAATCACCTTCGTGAGAATGGAACTGGGTTATGCCAATTTCAGTGAGAGATTGGCGATAGAAAAAACAAAACACGGATACCCCAAATATAGTTTTTGTCGCCGTTCTCTCGCTAAATGCGTACCGGATGACACAATTTTTTTATCCCTCGTTGAACCCTAGCTAAGTGCCTTCATTTTTTGACTGATTAGCGAGGAATAGTGGTCCGTCGATATTTACTTGCGAGATCCGTAGCTGAGCCCTCGGTAAATCCTCACTAATATTCCATATGTTAAATAAATAAAATAATTATCAAAAACATGGTAGATCTGTGGTAATTCCCTAGCTATAAGTCTAAATTTTGCTAGAGAATAAATCCGTAGCAAAATCCCTAGCTGAAACTCAAGTTTCTAGTAGTGGTATAGCCGGTCACAAGGATTACATTGTTACAAAATTTAAAGTATAAGGGTTTATTTTACAAAAAAAAAGAATAAGGACTAAATGTGTACATTTCAAAAAGTATCTTACCCTATCAAGTCATTATCCCTTACCTGGAGGACGTTGAGGAGACAAAGTGAACAGCTGCACAGAGTTCAATTATTTTACAAAAAAAAAGAATAACGACTAAATGTGTACATTTCAAAAAGTATCTTACCCTATCAAGTCATTATCCCTTACCTGGAGGACGTTGAGGAGACAAAGTGAACAGCTGCACAGAGTTCAATTATTTTAGGGGCGTAATTTTTTTATTATATATTATATATATGTATATTTATTTAAAAATAAAAAACTTATAATAATCATAAAGACTGTTTTTTCTTGCTCCTCCTCAGCAACGATATTAATTTCCAAGACCGGCCTTACATAGTTATTTGTTATTTGACTATATCTAATGTCATATCACCTTTCACAATATATATGTAAATTAAATATCAAATTTATATATGTAGAGATATAAAATTTAACCGTAGTATACTATTGACTATGTAGATCTTGATTTTATATATATATATATATATATATATATATATATATATATATATATATATAATATATATATATGCCTTAAAGGACAAAGAAGTTAGGCCAATCAACCTCTACTATATAACTCTTCAAGCATCGACTTCCATTGATGCCATCTCTCTCTCATCCAAAGACAATGACAAGTTCAACAAGAAGGTTAGTTTTATAGCTATTCATTTTTTTAAATCATTTTGTTGATCAACAAATTTCTGTGTTCAAAGTTTGTTTTAGCCAAAGTTTAGTCTATCTAGAAATTTGAATTATGCAAAGAAAGATCAAAAGATTTGATGAGAAAAAGTGCTAGTTTCTCAAAACTTGAAAAAAGTTCATAGTTGATATTAAATATTAAATATATTATTTATCAGATTAAACGTGAATATTATTAATTTCTTGATCATCAGTTCTAGATGTTTTATTTAAATATATTGCTCCAGGCCAGGTTTGTATAAAATCCCATATTCCCATTTTTGGTTATCTTGTAACAAGTAAAGTCATGTCCTTATAACTAATTAACTCAATTTTTGTTTTAGTTTTATGTTAATCATGCATCTCAAAATAACACATACATGAAAAAAAAAATTATACACGATGTGTAGGCTAGAAGGAAAGGTAGCATTGATCACTGGCGCAGCAAGCGGTATTGGTGAGTGCACTGCAAAACTATTTGCTGAACATGGAGCAAAAGTTGTCATTGCAGACATCCAAGACCAATTTGGTCAAGCAGTTTGTGAGGCCATAGGCACATCAAACTCCATATATGTCCATTGTGATGTAACCAATGAAGAACATGTCAAAAACGCTGTAGATACTGCAGTTTCCACATACGGAAAACTTGACATCATGTTTTGCAATGCGGGGATAGCAGATCCTAACAAGCCACGTATCGTTGATAATGAAAAGACAGACTTTGAGCGTGTGCTTAGTGTCAATATAACAGGTGTCTTTCTAAGCATGAAACATGCTGCTAGGGTTATGGTTCCTGCACGATCTGGCTCAATTATATCAACGGCTAGCTTGTCTTCAAATATTGGTGGTGCAGCCTCACATGCTTATTGTGCTGCAAAACACGCTGTAGCTGGTTTAACCAAAAATCTAGCTGTGGAACTTGGACAATTTGGTATAAGAGTCAATTGTTTGTCTCCTTATGCAATGGTCACACCACTAGCCACAAGTTTCGTTGGGCTTGAAGGGGAAGCATTAGAAACTGTGATGAACTTACTTGGGAATCTTAAGGGACCAACACTCAGAACAGATGATGTTGCTAAGGCTGCTCTTTTTCTTGTGAGTGGCGACTCACAGTATATTAGCGGACAAAATTTGTTTATAGATGGCGGATTTGGCATTGTTAATCCATCATTTAATATGTTTAAATACCCAGAGAATCTTTAAACTGACAGATTTCATCTTATCACATAACAAATAAGACAAGTTGTATGGTTTTTTTTTATTTATAATTTTAAGATTCCATGAGCTGTTTTAAGGAATTACAACTATTATCATTTTGTCTTAAATTAATTAGCTTACCGAGTCATGATGAAGATGAACCCATTTAAATTCAACAATTATATTATTTTCAGTATATTTTATGCAGCCGTGGTAACTTCTTGCAAATAGCATGCACATGTTGAATTGAAATTTAGCTACAGAGGCTAGAAAAGAATAGACTTAAATACAATTAACATGGTGATATTTACTGTGGATGATTCGATCTCATAACTACGATACCATAAATACAAAACATAGGACACCACGGAGACGATGACAAAAATAATGGAGGCAGATATACACTAAACCTATCTATATAAAGTTCCAAGACATGCAACATATATTATTATTTTCATCGAACATTAATAATTTTATTACTAAAGATGGAGGGTCAAGACAAAAATAATGGAAGCACAACTATAAATAATGGCGTCGGCAAACATCAACACATAAAGACCGATGTCTAGGGTCGTAAACGAACCGAACGTACACGAACAAGAGCTTGTTCATGTTTGTTCGTTTATGTTAGCCGTACAATGAACGAACACGAACAAAGAAACGAATGAGTTTTCTTATTTCTGTTCGTTCGTTTAAGAAATCACATTGTTCATTTTTATTAGTTTATGTTCGTAAACAAACTAAACGAACATAAACAAACGTAGATAAACAAACATATATGAACATAGACACATATACACTAAACCTATCTATATAAAGTTCCAAGACAACATATATTATTATTTTCATCGAACATTAATAATTTTATTAACAAAGATGGGGGGCGGGGTAAAGACAAAAGTAATGGAAGCAAAACTATAAATAATGGTGTCAGGAAACGTCAATACATAAAGATCGACGTCTAGGGCTGTAAACGAACCGAACGAGCACGAACAACAGCTTGTTCATATTTGTTCGTTTATGTTAGCCGAACAATAAACAAACACAAACGGATAAATGAACGAGTTTTCTTATTTATGTTCGTTCGTTTAACAAACTACATTTCTAATTTTTATTCGTTTATGTTCATGAACAAGCTAAACGAACGGAGATAAACAAACATATATGAACATAAAAGGTATTTTCACGAACGAACATAAATGAATAACATAAAAGACCGTTCATGAACATAACTGAACGAAATAGACCATTGTTCATGTTCGTTCGTTTAACTAAATGAATGGGAACATATGTTCATGTTCGTTCATTTATTAAATAAACGAACATAAACGATCTTCTCGCCGAACGGTTCACGAAAAGTTCGTTAAATGTTCGGTTCCTTTACAACCCTATCGACATCAAAACTTAAAAGTATACTTAATCAACCTGAGAACTCTAAGTCACATCAGAACACCAATCATATCTCCAAGATATTTAACTATTCTTAGAATAACGTTAAATACGGAGATGATCGTATTCGCAGAATTCATACAAATTAAATTTAGTCAAACTCATTAATAAAGTCCTTCCTTTAAGGTAAGCATGAAATGTCACGATTGAGTTATAGGACTTTATTATTCTAGAAATGATATTCGATGTGGATTTAGTCAACCGTAGCTTTGATCTTTTTATGAATTAGATGTTGATGAATGACATTTTCGCCGAGTGTTATTAGTAGCAGTGAAATGTTGCTAGATGTTCACCATCATCAATATCAATCTATTATGAGTCTTGTGCAAGTGCGAGATTGAACGATTTATATGCCTAAAAATCATTGTAGAATGATATTTGCTAATAACATATGATCTTATAGGGTCACACTAATAACAATTTGACGTAACTTGAATATTTATAAGAATTTGATTCTTGATAAATATTTATATTTCTTGTATAACTGGAAAATAAATATTTTATGAAAATAATAATTTTCCATAATAGGTATCAAATAAAATCATATGGTATGATTTATAAAAACTCATATATATAGATATATATATATATATAGATATATAGATATATATATATATATATATATATATATATATAGAATATATATATATATATATAGGAACGTTCAATCGAGAACATTTCATATTGCGAGAACATTTGAGAACATATTTGGACCATATAATTTTTTTAATTAAAACTATAAAATAATATTCATAAAAATCAATCAATTGTTACAAACAATTAAAAAACACACTAACCAAAATCACTCACCACCCAACCAACACCACCCATCACCACTACCTACAACCCACCACCACCTCCACCACCACCCGACACCACCACCAACCACCACACCCACCACCATGCACCACCACTCATCACTACCGACCACCACCACTCATCACCACTACCCACCTCCACCACCGCCCGCTACCACCACCCCCACCCATCACCAACCAAAACCACCACCCACCACAACCATCACCACCTACCTCCACCACCCATCACCACCACCCCTACCCACCTCAATCACCTATCACCACCACTCGCCACCACCACCAACCACCACCCACCACCACCACCACCACCTATTACCCCCCACCAAAACCACCACCCACCACCACCATCACCACCCACCACCATCACCACCCCCACCCATCACCCACCAAAACCACCACCCGCCACCACCATCTCCACCTACCTCCACCACCCATCATCACCACCCTCACCCACCTCATTCACCCATCACCACCACCCGCCACCACCACCAACCACCACCCTTCACCACCAACCACCACCACCACCTATCACCACCCACCACTACCACCCATCACTACCATCCGTCACCACCACCTCCACCCATCACCCACCAAAACCACCACCCACCACCATCACCACCCACCACCTACCACCACCCAACCACCACCACCCGCCACCATCGCCCACCACCACTACCTACCACCCACCACCACCTCCACCACCCATCACCACCACCTGCCACCACCACCAACCACCACACCCACAACATCCACCACTACCATGCACCAGCACTCATCACTACCGACCACCACCACTCATCACCACCACCCACATCCACCACCACCCCCACCCATCACCTACAAAAACCACCACCCGTCACCACCATTACCACCTACCTCCACCACCCATCACCACCTTCCCCACCTACCTCAATAACCCATCACCACCAACCATCACCATCCACCACCACTTACCACTTACGACCATCACCACCCATTACCACCATTCGTCACCGCCACCTCCACCCACCACCCACCAAAACTAGCACCCGCCACCACCATCACGACCCACCGCCCATCACCACCACCATCCATCACCACCGACCACCACCACCCATCACCACTACTCGCCACCACCACCTGCCCCCATCATCCCCACCCACCACCCACCAAAACCACCACCCACCCACCTCCACCACCCATCACAACCACCCACCCTCGACCCCACCCCCACCACCACCGACCATCACCACCACCCACCACCTATCACCACCACCCGCCTCCACCACCCATCACCATCCCACCCATTACCCACCAAAACCAACATACACCATCACCACCTTCACCACCAACTGCCACCCACTCACCCACCACCAACACCTATCACCTTCACCCGTCTCCACCACCCATCACCACTACTCGCCACCGCCACCTGCCACCCACTATTATCATCACCCTACATGTCACCCCGATCACCCTTCACCACCACCACCACCTACCACCTACAACCACCAAACATCACTAAACACTACCACTACCCATCACCACCACCTGTGATTATGTGTATATAATCACATGTGATTATTTGTATTTAATCACATATGATTTATATGGACAATATTCTTTTTTGTCCATATAAATCATGTGATTATATACATATAATCACATGTGATTAGATATATTTAATCAAATTTGATTAGATATATTTAATCACATATGTCATTATTGTCTTCTCGATTCAATAATTATTTTTTGTCAATTTTAATCATATGTGATTAGATACGTATAATCACATGTGATTATATGTATCCAATCACATATGATTTACATGAACAATATTCATTTTTGATTTTTCTTTTCAATAATTTTTCTCATATATTTAATCACATGTGATTATAAGTATTTAATCACTTATGATTAATGTGGACGTAAATTTGTTTTAATGTTCTTGATTTAATAGTTGTTCTCGTGTATATAATTACATATGATTATATATATTTCATCACATATGATTTATTGAATGAAGAACGTGAAAACAAATCTTTTTCACATAAATCGTAAATTATTAAATACACCAGACCAACTATTGAATTAAAAACGCAAAAATGAATATTGTCCACAAAAATCATATGTGATTAAATACATATAATCACATGTGATTATATGTACATAATTACATATGATTTATGTGGACAAGATTCATTATTTCTCTCTCAATTCAATAGTTGTACTTATGTACTTAATCACATATGATATATATATATATATATATATATATATATATATATATATATATATATATAATTACAGTTGACAAAGAACAATTACTGAATCGAGAATGTGACAATGAATCTTATCCACATAAATCATATATAATTCGATACATATAATCACATGTGATTATATGTATTTAATCAGATATGATTTATGTAGACAATATTTATTTTTGCTGGTTCGATTGAATAATTGATTTTGTGTATTTAATCACATGTGATTATATATATATATATATATATATATATATATATATATATATATATATATATATATATATATATATATACATAATCACATATAATTTGAGGTGGACAAGATTTATTTTTTCCTTCTCGATCCAATAGTTGTGCTCATGTACTTAATCACATACAATTATACATATAATCACATGTGATAAAATACATGAGAACAACTATTGAATCGACATAGAAAAAATTAATTGTGCCCACATAAATCATATGTGATTAGATTCATATAATCACACATGATTAGATTTATTTAATCACATATGATTAATGTGGAAAAAGAAAAACTATTGAATCAAAAACACGAAAATGAATCTTGTGTACATAAATCATATGTG